CCACACTGCAAGCACGTGATACTCATTCTACGAACAAAAAATAGCAAATATAACCAAGGAAACAAGCGATGGTACCATTCAAATACATCAGTGAAATCCGCCACATGCTAGCGACAAGGTTTATCAAAAATTAAAAAATTAATATCAAAACGTAAAAACGTAATCAAAAGAGTATCAACAAAAAACATCTGCAAAACATTTTCAGCACAGAGAACGCACATGGCATGACACATAACGATGCTGAAGAGCAAAGGTAATGCAGAGCAGAAACAACATAATGTGAAAGTGACCATAAAGCGATTCGGTAAACTCGAACTCCGCTTTGCTATCTCCATGACTGTTTCAGATCCTTCTGCTTCGCTAACCTCTTGGACAACAACGACGCCAAAAGCAATGACAAAAGTACGAAACTGATAAACCAGTGGTCAAAGTCTTCCTTCAGAATATCGAAGGTACCAGAAGGGGACACTCGGTTGAAAAATAAATCTGAAAATATTGAGCAAAATTGAAAGCAAGCTACGTGCAATGGTCAAAACTAGGTACCGAGTCCAGCGACAAACAGCAACGACGTCGACTCTAAACCAGATGGAAACGTTCTCATTTGGCGAACTTTCAAAATCGTCTGATTGTAGTTCACAATGTGTTCGGAAGAGATCGACAACTCGGGAACGTACGGAAACAGCCCTTCCTCGCTAAAAAATAGACGGTATTATGGTAAAAACTTCATTTCTGAATGGTGATAGTGTTTAGCAACTGTAAAACGCAACAATGCAATAATAGTAGGCGGACATAGATCTGGTTATGAAAATACTGCGGCACAAATGCGCATTATGAATGAAAACTCCTGAAACAGTACTGCTGGTTCAAAGGAAGTGGTACGACTTCAGCCGTAAGATGCATATTGAAATTTGGACGGTAAACGTTTCGACGACAAAGCAGTGATCACGCTGCTCAAACGTTTGCTCTGAAAACGAATTCTCTATTCAGAAGGTGATTATATATGTCCTAGTATTACAAATGGCGCCTTCCTTCTTCGTCCGTTTTTGGTGCCTACCATTTCATGAAGTTAATAGTGAGGCGTTGATATTCATCTCTGTGTAAACAGCTACAAGCGGTTTATTTTAAAGGCGGAGTCAATTGTAGCTATATGGCAGACATAGTGCATAATCTTCTGCCTCGTTCCCAGAGTGCTG